GGGGGGGGGAACCCAGATGGGCACCTTCGCTCACTATACCTGAAATTGTAGTGTACTTCCCAGTCATGAGAAAAGTAGACTATGTGTATTATTAACCTTTCAATATTGCTTACTTGGCTCAATAGAATAAGCACTTGCCTGGCAAATATTGCTTACTTACAGCAATTCTCGTGTAGGCCAGAAGACGTGAAGGTTCCAAAAAAAAACAACAACAACAAAAAAAAAACAAAACAGCACAAACCAAAGTCCTGTTACAGTGTAACAGATATGGCAAAACAGGATTTTAAAAGTTCAAAGTTTTTCAGACAAACAGCTTACTAAACTTCTCAGGTCTAGAATGGACAGCATATGCAAGTGCTGGCACCGGGACTCAGTCATTTCCCACAATGAGCAAAAAGTGGCTGGGAAGGATGCAGTCAGCCTGGACTGTCAATGTCAGTTACTATAAAAACGACTGCACAAGAAAATGGTGATCTGTGGCTATGAAACACTTCCACCCCTTCAGAACTGGTGTTAAATAAAGCGCTATCTCTAAACACAGCCTCCCATCGTTGGTTTGGGACTGGTGAGTCATCAAACCTGAGTGGTTGGTAGCAATATGGCTAATGGGGCAGGGGGCAAATGAAAACTGATAGCGCAGAAGTAGAACTGTGGTCATAAACACCAAATCGACATAGTATGAGGACAAAACTACATATCAGGACTTGCTGGTGGATTAAAGGACAACACAACACTCTCTTGTTGTGGTAGGAGGAAACCCAGGGGTCTCATGCACATACTCTACCAGTGGGCTGTTTCCCCAGCTTTCTTCTAAGACAGGGTCTTTCTTGTTACACTGCTCAGGCTGATGTCAGCATCCCAAGCAGCAGGGCTTACAGGACATAAACTTCCAAAAGGATGAGCATGAAGTTTTTTAAAGATGCAATTATCAATTACCAATCGAAACAAAGTTAACAAAAGGCTTGTGATAAAAGCTGAGACATTTCTGCAACTTTTACAGACGTGTTACAAATAGTCATTGGGGAAACAGGATGCAGCTTTCACTCACAGCTATTAGTTCTGAGTACAATGATTTGCTATCTCCACTAATCTCCAACCCTTACAAGCCTATCAAAAACGACCTTCCAGTTGGGCATGATCGCTCACATCTGTCATTCCAGAACTTGGGAGGCTGAAGCAGAAGGACTGTTGTGAGTTGAGCAGCAGCCCAGGCTATATAGTGAGACCCTGTATGAAAACAAAAACAGGAGCCAGGGAGATAGCTCAATAGAATAAGCGCTTGCCTGGCAAGTGCAAGGCCCTGAGTTCAATCCCCAGTACCTAAAAAAAAGAAAGAAAGAAAACACAAAATAGTATAGATTAGTAGATAGCAGATTATAGACTCTACTGCCTTAGACTTATTTTGTAATCTCTAACATGCTACTGTCCTCTAAAGCACTATTCTGAAAATGACCCAGGAGAACTCCCTAGTACTGACAAGTCAGGACTCTTTTGTTTGTACTGGGGATCGAACTCAGGACCTCCCACTTGCCAGGCAGGTGCTTATAACACGGAGCTATCTCCCCAGGCTCAGACAAACCAGATTTATACTAAATAAAGGAACAAACTCCTTTGTAAAGTTATTTTCTCACAGACTCAGAGACAATTCTTTAGACTGCAAATGCAGTCTTGAAGCAACTTTTTACAATAGGTCTCCAGGAAATAGCACTCACGTTGAAATAAAAGTACATCTTTGGAGAGAGAGAGAGAGAGAGAGAGAGAGAGAGAGAGAGACAGACAGACAGACAGACAGACAGACAGACAGACAGGTAAGAAAGAAAAGTACACAATAAGGAATGACTTCAGGAGGATGTCTGCCCTCTATGGTCATTGGTAAGCACTGCCCTGGTGTTCTTAAGACCGGAGACCAATGAACCTGTGCATGGCTGTGTGAGTGAAGGACAGGTAACAGAAAATAGTACCAAACTTCTTACAAGGCAACAGCTTTAAGGCTATTTTCTCACATGGTATGTGAGGACAGTTCAGAATACTATAATTCAATCTTGAGTTGTTCATAATGATGATTTGTCTTGATGATTTAGTTTTCACTTCAAGGATTTGGGCAGGCCTTCTATTCCTTCACACCTCCATAATCTGCTTCAACAATCCCAACATAAAAACAGAACTGAGTAATACACAGTCTATCTTATCAAAGACTGGAGGTTATTCACCAGTACTGAAGTTCAAAGTAATGGAGGAATGGGGCCAGGGATTTAGCTCAGTGGTGTAATGCCTGCCTGGCAAGCTTGAGGTCCTGAGTTCAATTCTCTGTACCTGAAAAGGGGGAGGGGGATGGAAGAGAAAGATAAGAATAAAAATGGAGCCAGTAGTAAGCCTATTCAGCTATGCTAACAGAATTGAAAGCAGAAAATACCTATAGCAGTTTTAGGCAAACTTAGGTGATGGAATATCTGAATCTACCTTATACTTTGTTTACTAAAATCAATCATAGACAAGCTAAGGGTAGACACAGACTAGGAATGGGTGGAGAAATAACTCAAGACTTAGTTCTCTGAAACTTTGCAGTCTAAAATCTCATATGTGACAGGGAAAACCAATGACCAAAAATTAGGTATGAGACCATAAACTAGGAGGCTAAAAAATTCAGGTTTTTCAAGATGTCAAAATCATGATATATTTAAAGTGTTTCAAAAAGTACCTTTGAAACTGGTTCTGACTTTTAGTATATAAAAAGAAACCTTTTATTGGGCTCAATTTGGAAATAAAATATTTTCTTGCTATCATCTCATGAAATAAGGTTACAGAAATTATAGAGGATATGATACTATAGATTACCCAAATCACTCCACTGCCATTAAACTTGGAAGCATCCACAGAGCAGTTCAGGGCCTGGACATCTACAAAGCCAAGGACCAGCCTCACCACTCCTGTAACCATGGAGGAAAGCCTCTGCCCTCTGACTCCCTCCTACAGAAAGAGGGACAGCCCTGTTTTCCTTGCTAAATGAAAGGAGCCTTGTTAGTTTTAAGTGCCTTATCAGTAAACTTAACTGTATCAAGAGGAAAAAAAGTGATGAAACTGGGACCCAGAGTTCTGGAGCACTTACCCATGCAACTGTTTTACTGCTACCAGTCACCAAATTCCAACCTGCAGACTAAACTTGCTTTGCAACTTTTTTTGAAAAACATTTACTGAGTATTACACCTTCCATAGATACCACAGACAATGACTAACCTGCCTTCAGCAAAGGTCATAAAACAGACTGCACTCAGCCTCATGTTCCCAAAGACTCCACCCTAGAGCTAGGCAGACCCTGCTCTCGGCCCCACCCAGTAAGTAGTGAGGGCCAAGTCACAGCTGCTGTACCAACACAGCCTGAAAGCCAGGTGACCAGAAGCCTAGTAAACTCTTACAAAGCACCACATTTCTCCCAAAAGCAAGAAAAGGTGACCTTTCCTTCCCTAGCCTTCAGGCTGAGATCCTCTGGAATGAACAGGAAGATATTTAAGACAGACAGACAGACAGACAGACAGACAGACAGACAGACAGACAGACACAGAGACACAGGCAGAGAGACAGACAGAATCCAATTAAAATACATCATAAGACCAGGGGTGGTGGCACATGCCTGTAATCCCAACACTGGGGAGGTTGAAAACAGGAGGATCACTACGAGTCCAGGCCATGTAGTGAGATCCTGTACCAAATACAATTTAAAAAAAAAAATTCTAATTTTTATCTTGATTAAAATCACCAAGGAAGGTAAAACAGCACATACAAACGTTTTTATATTACCTTCAGTTCTTTAACTTAACATTTTTTTCTCTGTCAAATTTCACTGATTGGTATTTAAGCATGAATAAATTATTATGAGCAATATTCAAAGGAAAAAAAGATGTGAAAATGTAAATATACATTATTTAATTTTACTTAAAATAATTGTCAAAAGGTTATGATGAACAATACCTTTCTCATTACTGTCAACTTAATAGCTGAGATACTTTTAGGTATTAAATTATCAAATGTTATCAATTAAAATTTCTATTTCTGAACCAGGCACAGTGGTACATGCTTTTAATCCCAGCACTTGGGAGGTGGAGGCGGGAGGATTGCCACAAATTTGAGGCCAGCCTGAACTACACAGTGAAAACCCTATCTCTAAGAAGAAAAATAACAAAAGAAAAATTCTATTTTTTGTTTCTATCCATATCTGATACATGTGATGAAAAAGATCACTTTGCTTTAAAAAAATTTTTAAGAAGTTAACACATCACATTTTTGCTCATGAGCACAAAATTTATAGTCAGTAGTTGCACATAAAGGGTTTATTTTAAATGTTTTAAGGATAGGATAGAGATACATCATAATTATAAAAATTACTTACAGAATTAACAGATTTATATTGTGTATACTTCTAAATGCAAAGAACAGGAAACTGTCTACACATTGTATAAAATAAAATTAAAAATGAATTCAAGCTCAAAAGATGAGGTCATTTACCTAGTTTTAATATGTGAACACGAAGACCTCTGAACTATACACATTCATCCAAACTGCACTAATGATGGAAAATACAGAGAGCGCAGCATTTCCAAGGAACCACAGACATTTCGACCATCA